TTATATTGAAAAAAATTCTTAAGTTTCCCAAGTGATTTTTAATAAACAATAGTGAAATTAAGTTCAGTTATCAATTTTAAAGATAAAATAGGTGCTAATTAAAAAATACACTCACACTTTTCTCAGCGGGACATAGATTTCTTATTAATTCCTTGATACACAGGAGTAAGTGCATGTGTGTGCTGGTATGTGCATAGATATTAGCATTGTTTGCATATATCTTGAAATATACACACATACAACCAAATGCAACGCAGTTCAGTGATTAACTATTATGTTTTATATTTGCAGAGTAATTTGTCAGTGTTAGCTTATTAATTCTATTCTCCCTTTAGGGCTTTGTTAAATAAATTAAATTTTATTCAATGAAAGTGAACATTTTGTATTTTCTTTTAGGTTTTTAGCCTGCTCTTTTTTTGATACCTCAGCAGGTAATTTATTCTTAAGATCAAAATTTTCTGGTGTTGAAATCAGTGGCAAATAAACTCCCATGGCTTCTTAGCTACTCCTAGAGCAAGGTGAGAGAGAGGTATAATTTGATACATATTTGCATTAGGGTATAAAAGCACTGGTAATTGCTGAGTATTATACAGTACCAGAAAATTGCAGCAGTTTGCAGTAAATTATTACAGTATTTTATAGCTAGCTATTTCTTTTTTTTCCTGTATCCAGATCACTATCTTATTGTACCTCAAGGAAGTAAGAGATTACTTGGTGGTTTGAGGAGGAAAAGGAAAAGAAATTAATATAATATCATATCTGACTTTATAGAGACTTCTGAAGCAATTTTGGAGTGACGAGATGAGACTGCACTCTACAATATATAATATAGAAGTTGTTGTTGTTGTTGTTAAGTGCCATCGAGTTGGTTCTGATTCATAGTGACTCTGTATAGGGTTTCCAAGGAGCAGCTGGTGAGCTTGAACTGCTGACCTGCAGTTCAAACAGCTTTGCAGTCTGGTGCACTAACCCACAGCACCACCCCAGGACTCCAATGTAGGAGTAGATGACCATATTTCACTTTAGTTCTGACCACTTAAGTCTGGTTGTAGAGTTAAGCCTTTAAATTCAATTTGTAAGAAGAAATGGGGAATAATATACACATAGCTGCCTGGATGCCAAAACATGGGGATTGCTCATCTGAGAAGGTTGTGGAACTTCCAACTTCCTTGATCTTCTAGAAGGAGCTTAACTTTCAGGGTGGTTTGTATTTCCCCTTGATCAAAAGGAAGAGTATTGAGTTAAAACATATCCCAAGATTCTATTGAAAAGTCTTGTTTTCTAAATCCTATAATTAGACTAAGAATCCGAGAGTCAAGGCAGGTTCTCTATAGCATTACTTTATTGTGGCAGCAAGTTAGACCCTACAGATTCTAAATGAATTTCCTACATCTCTGAAATTGTCCACAATCCAATATTTCACCATGTAATGAGATTACACTGTGGAGAAAGCAAGCAGAATTGACACGATCTGCTTTGGATGAATTTATAGCAATAATGGATTAATTCATTCACTCATTTATGGTAGTGTTTTAATTGTTAAGACATAACTCATGCCTTTGAGTTTATAATCCATTTTGTAAGGCTGGAAATTGGGTGTGAAATTGATAAACAAGCAAATAATCATAAAAAGTGGTAAGCCCTACAATAATAAAAAATACCAGGTCCTAAGGAAGTCTATGGGTTTTGGTACAGGGCTCTTGGATAAGCACTGGACTGCTAACCACAAGGTTGGCATTTCAAACCCATCAGCCACTGCTGGAAACTCTATACAGGGTCGCTATAAATTGGAACCAACTTGATGCCACCTAACAACAACAACAAAGCAAGCCTGTTGGAAAAGCATCCAATGATGAGTATCACAAGGAAGTGACGTCTGTCACGAGACGTGATTGACATTTAGTAGTGAGCCTGAACCAGGCAGATGGTGACAGAAGACTGCGAAGGAAATGACTGCAAAGCAAGAGCACCTGGGACTGCAAAGGCAAGAGTGGGGGATGACAGTTCTGAGAGACAGAGAGGGGCAGGTCGAGAAGGGGATACCAACTGGGGGCCAGTCAGGGCTGGTCATAAAAGGTCTTATGAGCCTTATTAAAATATTTAGGTTTTAGCAGAAAAAGTACTTGCTGAGATTTGCATTTTAAATGAGTTTGACTGTCTTACGAAGAGTGGCTGGCTGTGTGTATGAAGAGTAGTAGAGGGAAAAACTGCAGGCAGGGAGACTGGAGCAGCCTATTTGCAGCAAGGTAGAGGCAGGGGGTTCCCAAAGGGAGTGATGGAGAAGCCAACGGGAACACAGGTGATCCTGGAGAAATCCCAGAACTCAGCTGAGTAAGTGGCAGGATGCAGGTAGAGAGAAGGTAGAGGGTGGGGTGGCAGGAGGGCTGTAGGAAGGTTGAGTGAGACAGTGTAGACCCTCACAGTGGGCTCGACCCATCCTGTCTACTTCATCAGCCTCAGTCTGTTCAAATGGCCGTGACTAGTGCAACTCACCAGAACAATCCAGAAGACGTCCACTGGACAGGGCTTCATTTCAATCAGTTCTCCTTACAGTTGCCATGAGCCATGAGCCAATTCAGCAGCACCAAGCCCTAATGTTAGACTGGAGGTGAGGAGAAGCCAGACACATGGGAACACCTTTGTGTTGTGGAGTGCTTGTTATGTATGTATGTATGTATGTATGTATGTATGTATGTATGTATGGAGTGCTTCTTCTTATCTTCTGCCATATTTGAGTTTCCACTTATAAATCATAGCACTGGGCTTTAAAATAGCAGCTTACTGAAATGTTTCTTGTTTAGAATCTTGGCATGTGGTTTATTTTATATATCTATCCTTTCACCAGAGGAGTGCTGATAGTTCATTTATCTGTTGAGATCAACACTTGGTTTTATGTTGGGTTTTAGTTCGGTGTTTAATTAAACAGCCAATATCTCTAAAAATAGTAACTTTTGCACAAATGCATGCATTGTCTTTCTTGTAAGAGTTCAGACTGGTTTGCACATGCTTTCGTACTAAATAATACAACACCATTAGGAAAATCAGTGCAGAAGAGAGTTCTTAGTCCACAAGGAGGAGACTTTTGGAAGAACACAGACTATTAGTGTCCCTTCACCCTCCTGGCTCATAAACCCTTGTTTCAAAAAAATATTTAAGAGAAACAACAGTATTAGTTCATTCATTAATGCTCTGCTAAAAACCATATATGACTTCCCAAAGCAACTTTTGATCCATGTAAAATAAGCCATAGATACCACGTTAATGGTGTAATTCAGTCAACAACAAATGCAGCTGAAATTGTATTTAACCTCTGTAGCTAGATTATAAGGGAATGTGGAATTTCTGTTAAGCTTTTTTGGATTTAAAATTGACTCAGGGTATCATCTTAATAATAATAATAATAGAAATAAAAACTAAGAAGCCAACACTGTACAAAGTTAAGTAAGTAGGAAATCTGACATGCAGTCATCCAAAGAGGCGACACAGAACAGTGGGCTCCTGGACCTTACCTAAGGCAGAGAAAATGGCTGCAGCCCAGAACATTTCCCCCATCAGAGCAGGGATAAATAGGAGCCCACCCATGCGCTTCCCATAGATTTGCTGAAATGGGTCAAGCATCGTCACATATCCTTTGGAACGCATAGGCTTTGCAAAGAACAGACCACCTGAAATAAACAAATAGTTGTGAGAAAAAATTTAAAAATCACAATATAATAGTCTTTGCCAAACTTTTCATTATGATAAAATTTCTGAAAGGAAATGATTTTTGTGGGAGGACACCTATATGTGTTGAGGAATCAGTCTGAAATATGAGATAGTTAGCATCCAAATATGAATTTATTAGTACACTAACATTGAATTCATCCAATGGACAACTGAGTGGCAGATCTAAAACATATAAATGGAAAATGATGGCCGATACAGTGTTCGTGCAAAGACTTCAACACATTTATATTTCCCAGCATAATATTTAGACACTTTGAATAAACAGAGAATGTAATAAAAGTATTGTGAGTGCAAAAAAACACAACAATTCTGTTATGTAACACTTCTGATCTTTTATCAACTTGATTTAGAAAAAGAACTGTAGGCACTGTTCACACTGATTCATTTTCAATGCTATATGCATATTATTTTTGAAAGAAATAAAAACAACATTGTGTTAAGAAATTCAATGTTCTAATAGTCATAGGGTAAAGGATTTCTTCCCTCTCCCCCCGCCCCCATTGCCATAATCAAAGGATCAAAACCACGAAGCATTAGCATCCTCCTACTTACCAGCTCCTGGTAACAGCTACTTAGAGATTTCTGGGAACAGTTTTTTCCACAATAGTTATTAACATTGTTTGATTTGTCATTTCACTTGCTACTTGTACTCCTAGTCATTATGTTGTACTGAATGAGTCACTTACCTAAAACCAGACTAAGAGAGTATCCAATTGGTGCTTGAGCCCAGGCTAGACCATAATCTGGTACGTACACTGCTTCAGCGGTCCCATTGATGTAACCTCCTCCAACCCAAGTGGCTGAAATACAACCCAAAGTTAGCAAAGGACACTCTTACCTGTCACACACTCGGCTGTCTCTGCCCAATGTATTAGCCACTAACCTGATGTAGCTATGAGCATTTAAAATATAATAGTCCAAACAGATGTTTTGTGAGTACAACATACACATCATAATGTGAAACTATGTATAGAAAAATTATGTATAGAAACAAGTATGCATAGAAAAATTAATATTAAATGCCTCAATGATGTTTTTGTATTGGTAGCATACACGGAGTTAAATAAAATACATTATTAACCTTGAATCACCTTTTGTATTACATTTAAAAAGTGACTTGTCAAAAGTGTGACATGATTTTTGTGGCTAGCATATTTCTCTTAGTGCTACCCTAGAGGGCTTTTAATTGTATTTCCCTATCAAGACTTTTAAACATTCTTGTTATATCATAAAACATAAACACATAAAACAATGTATTATATTATTTCCAGTACCAATAATTCTACATCTGTACTCCAGTCCCCATAATAGTCAAGTGTCTTCATTTCAAAGCCTTTATGTGTTCATTAAGGAGCTCTGGCAGCGTAGTGGTTACGAATCGGGCTGCTAATCTCACAGTCAGCAGTTCAAAACTACCAGCTGCTCCGCGGGAGAAAGATGAGGCTTTCTGCTCCCGTAAAGATTTACAGCCTTGGAAACCATGTATAGGGTCACTATGAGTTGGAACCGACTCCACGGCACTTAACAACAGCAACATGTGTTAATTGGAGTCCTGCTGTGTGCTGCGGGTTAATGTGCTAAACTGTAAAGTCGGTTTGAACCACAAGGTCATTGGCTCAAGCTCACCAGACGCTCTTTGGAAACCCCATACAGGGTCACTACAGGTCAGAACTGACTTGATGGCACTTAAACACAAGAACATGAGTTAACTGCATTCATCTTGTTATGTTGATCATGGTGATTGATTAGCATTGGACTGTGAACCACAAGGTCAAAAGTTCAAACCCACCAGCTGCTCCTATACAGGGTCACTATGAGTAAGAACTGACTTAGCGCTTACAACAACAACGTTGACCCCAGTTAGTGGCATGATGTGTGTGTGCTTTTTTATTAATGGAATCTTTTCTTAAACTTTGAGACTATGCAAGATTCTGCAATATCTAGTTTTCATAACAACAAAGAATTTAAATACCTTAAGTTGAAATACCTTAAATTTGGAAAGGGAGTGATGACAATTCTGTGAGAGTTCCCTTTCTCCTATATTCACTTTCTTTATTCCCAGTGACCCAACATCCACTTAGGGCCTAGCCTTACACTCATTAGCCTTTAAAATGTTAGCTGCGTACTCACAGTTCTTCATTCTATCCTGAGTCTTTTGGTAGGGTATTCCACAGTACATAGAAAATAAAAAAAAATACATACTCTTCAAATGTTTAGAAATAAAATTTCTGTAGTATAGTATAAGAAGGATGCTCATGGAACAAAGGATCCAAAGAAAACATATTTTGGCTAAATGAAATTGGACCAAAATACTCTGTTGTCTATGAGTAGATGATGTAATATTTGAATCTTGCTGAAAAACTAAAGTTAATCTTTACAGCTCATATTCTTTAAAATCATAGTCAAAATCATCAAAATGATTCCTATATAAAAAATATGTAAAATTATGAAAGGTATTGACTAGTAAGAAGCTTGATTATCAGACATGAGACTGAATAAAATTAGATTCTAAAGAATTCTCTAAAATCTTGCAATTAGACTATAAACCAATGTAATAACTAATATATCTAACAACCCGCCTAACCCTGTACTCCTGTTTATGCCATTCAATCCAGTACCAGCAAAAAAAAAAAAGGAAAAAAGAAAATGTTTTGGGAGTAATAATGCTTTTTAAAGATTATCATGAAAATACCTGTTGTAAAAGACTTTAAGTGCATTGAAATGTAAAACATATAGACACAATTCTGAATGTGGTTGTTAAGTGCTATGGAGTCAGTTCTAACTCACAGTGACCTTGTACAGGGTTTCTGAGGAGCTGCTGGTGAGCTTGAACCACCAACCCCGTGGTTCAAACCAATCTTGTTGTCAAGCACATGAATGTGCAGTGCCACACCAGGACTCCTGGGTGGACAATACATGTTCACTAATATGTCACTTACAGCTTTACAGTAGCTGTTACATAGGTTGGTAACAAATGTGATTGTTTTTCTCATTCTAAACTCTCCAAAATCCCACCTGTATCTTGAGTTTTAAAAAAGCATATACATTTCCTTCATTAAAAAGGAGACATTTGAATGAGTGTGAAATTCGGTCCTGGTGGTGGGAATGTGCCGTGGAGTCGGTTCCGACCTATAGCGACCCTGTACAGGGCTTCCGAGGCTGTAAATCTTTATGGGAGCAGAAAGCCTCTTCTTTCTCCCATGGGTCCGCTGGTAGTTTCAAACTGCTGACCTTGAGGTTAGCAGCCTGACTCTTAACTGCTACACTACCAGAGAAATGAATTCTTTTTGGCGCAGAACTGAAACTTCATCTACTCCACTGACAAGTCAAACTGCTAAAGCACAAGCAATGCTTCACTGCACAGAGTAAATGGTCTGATGGCTCTACAAGCACAAAGCTTATAAGTGATCAGTTTTCATTGTATAGACTCCTGTCTCTTGTCCAAAAAGGAAACTGGTGCCTGAATGATTGTAACTATTATAGTCTAAACCTGAAGACTTGCTTTCTTATTATGATGAAACAAAGGGCCTCTGTTTTTATCAGTCTAGTTCTTCTTTTGCCAGATTTTTCTCCTTACTGTATGCTTTGTGTCGATCTGTGAGTGGGAAAAAGAAATCTTTTAAACTATGTGATTTTGTTAAGAATCAATATTTTCAACCTCTATCGTTTATCAAATACATACAAGTTAATTATTTGGAAAGGTTTAGATCATCTGATTCAGATTTTAATTACAGCATTGACTAGGGTTCTTTTTGATCTCTGAGGGATTAAAACATTTTTTTAACTGAAATAATATCTTAAAGATATTATAATTCAAATATTTTCAATAGATTTTGCAGCCTATTAGTATAAAAAAAACCCTCTAAATAGTGAAATAAATGATATAATATTATCTTCAATGATATATTAAATATAACATTTAGCTGGAGTAGCAGAATATTATAGTAATATAATATTTAATATTGTAATCACTTCACTAATATAGCATGCTACATGTTAGTAATATCACATATCATTAACATATTATTATTATTATTATTATTATTATAATCTGTTATTATAATGATTGAACAAAGTAATTTTATGAACCTCAGGTCATCCGCTATCTTTCAGGAGCTTTTTGAATTAAATCAACTGCTTCTGTTCATTTTATTTAGTTCATTTTACTTGTATTTTGTTGTTTTATTATGTTTTTCTCATTTTCTTTGTAACAGACTAAGACAGGATTTAATCAACGATTTAGCTCCACTTCAAAGATACGCATCACCTCTGGGTCTTTGGGGACAAAAAGAAATGCTCTCGTGCGCCAACGATGAGTATGAGAACAGACAGCACGGAGTGTGCACACATCCCTAGGTGGGTAATGGGAGAAAAGGCATCGAAGAAAGAAGTGTATCAACATTTCAATGAATTTATCTATAGGTGGTAGGTTTATGATTTTCATCTTATTGTTTATGTCTTTTGCATTTTTTCTGACTCTCTATATTATTACATCTAATGTCTTCTGTTAGAAAAAGACAGATTTAATTAGAAAATATTTTGCACAGTATAATTGTTTTTTCTCTGTATTATTTAGGGAGAGGAAATGAGAACTTGAGGCTAGTGAACAGAGTCTACAGACATTGCAGCTTCATACAGCGCTCAGGGGACACCACTTAGAAAGATGCCTGTGATGTCTCATGGAGCTGCTCTGGGCTGGGCTCACCACAGACTTGCTTTGGTCCTGACTCTAGTCCTGGTGAACCAAATCACTTGGGATCCTCCTTTCATCCCAGAGTTGTTCCGGTAGTGCTGTTATAAAGATCATATGAAACCATGAGAGGTGGTGGGAAGTTAAATAAACGTAAAATGTGAATAAATGAAAGATAATATCTATACCTAAACATCTTTCTAGAACTTTGTATATTTCAGATGCCTGAGTCAAGTCACTCAAAACAGATCCTCAGTCTTCATAGACTTGTTTAGTACCAGAGATACAGGGTGAATCATTTTCCAGCATCAACTGAAATTGGTTATCACCTTTCATGGGTCATTTTTCCAGTGGGTGGTCAGAGTTCTTGTTAGTATAGGCTATGATTATAACATTTAAAAACCTATGAGTGAAATATTTGTTAGTAAGTGTATACCAAATAAGATTAAATGTAAGATTTTAAATTGTTTTCTCTCTTTGTTTCAAGATTGTTTTCAAGGACAAAGAAGAATATAGAAAGAAGTCACCTAAAGCAGAGTCACCCCCAGAGCAAAGGAGAAAAGAATCTTAGCCCCTGCTAGCACAAAGAAGGCTTGGCTGGCAGAGAACCCCGGCTGCTGACTGAGGTCCTTCTGGTAGGACACGCCCTAGTCTTTTTCCTTGTGCATTACAATTCTGGGAAGTCTTTTTCTTTTTTAGTATTATAGGTTCATTACATAAGATTATCTTCCTGTGAGAAACATAGATTATTAGATAGGAGAGTTCTCAAAACAATATGTCTATTAATTTGGAATTATTTTGACCTCAAATTGGCTAATTCAGGTTTAAAACCACTCATTAGCATCCGTGACAATTATAACTGAAGACAACGAAAATTCTAACTTCACACATGCATTAGTGACATGATCAATATTGACTTTATTCTATTAATTAGCATTTGCACAACTTTGAAGACTCGAATGTCCCGGCAGTGGCATCCATTCACCCATTTGTCTTTCTTCTGTTTCCACCCACTGAACAGTCCAGATAGCCAAGACTGGTTTCATTGATAGTTCTTTGTCTAGTAATTTAGGGTAAAATCATTTTGTTCAAGTACTACTGAGTTAGAACCATGTTCTTTTTGAATTTCAAGTCAAAGCAAATATATTTTTTAAACTAGTGAGCACAAAGAACCCCCAAAGAACAAAGAGCAACATTTGCTTTGCCACTCTGCTAGATAATTAGAAAAGCTAAGGAGAGGACAGACAACATGGAACAGAAATGACCTGAATTTACCTGTCATGGTAAATCCACCCACCAGCAACCCGATATCTCGGCCACCCACGATTATGGCTTCACTACGTTCTTCTGCGCTGCCGCTGTTTTTGGTTCTCCACGCAGCCCATATTCCAACCAGCAATATTACAAGGTAAAATACAATAATAGCTATCAGTCCTTCCACATGGAAAGCCATGTTTATGTAGATGTCCGGCGTCTTCTGCTGCAGACTACTTCATTCAGACAGCTAAAGAAAGCACAGTTATACATTAGAAGTCAGCCCAAAGCCACACAGCCAGGCAGCCAGGAAGAAAGCAGCTAGCTCACCAGAGACCCTGTACCACTTCAACAGTATGTTCAAATCACCTGCTAAACTGAGAGTCACCAACAGACGGCCACTACATTTTTCTAACACTAGTTAAAATTTTCACATGGTTTAGAGTTTTCAAGAAATATAAAAATTTCTAAAATTCTATTTAACAAATACAGGAGAACAGTAGCTTAATCATTTTGTGCTTAATAAGTCTTGTCTTGAACTATCTTAACTCAAAATCTCTGTCAAGAAATGGCAAGGATTCTGAATGTATTTGTTTATTGAAACTAAGGTATTATTTGGCTTAGAATTACTCAATAATGTCTCAAGTGTATCACAAAGGACATTTATTTATTTATTCAACTGTCCATCCTTTCAAAGAGTTCCAGAAAAAGGGTCCAGAAGTAACCTGGTATCCAAACATGTAGGGGCAAAAACAAAACAAAACTTTAGGAAATTCTATTTCAAAGACATCTACCTTCACAGTTTCAACAAGTTCTTGTTCCAGTTACAATAATAACTAAGATGCTTTTGTTGTTCGAGGGAATAAGTTCACCATTCCACTGCTTAACACGTGTGTGTTGGCCTTCTTTGTTTTCATTTCCCCACCCACTACTTACCAAATAGTGAAGAAAAAAAGAACGGTTTTAAAGTACGAAATTGCCTAATAACAGAGGGCCGAGGTCTTAGGAGACAGTTGTTAAGTACAAACACATTTAACCTTCTGGAAATTTTGAGTTCTATTTTATTTCTCCAGTAAGACCTTGTCTATTTCATGCAACTTAACTCCATTTCATGCGGAGCACTTTCTGGGTGGCAGTCAGCTGTTTGTGCACGCAGGTGGATGAGGAAGAGAGGTAGGCATGCTGAGGGAACCAGCTTCTCTAGGGTTCAAAGCGAAGCCAGCTAACTGCGGGGGGCTCTTGGGTGGACTCTGTGATGCTAGCAACCTGCTTGTGAGCCCAGGCGTCCCTTTTCTCAGCATTCTCCTCCGGTTCCCTCTGTCCCTTCTCAAGCCCACTGCTACTTGGCACGCTCCCCGGGATACTGTCTCTCCCAGACTTTCCTGCGGCTTTCTTGCTGGCTTCTGGCTGCTCCCACTTCCATCTCGGGAGTGCTGGGCAGCAGACCGGCCAGTGTATTCCCAATAAGAGGTAAATGATCTGTGCCTCTTCCCTCTAAAACACCCAGCTGGGCGTTTCCAGCCGCGGGGTCCCCGGGTGGGCGCTGAGCATCCCCAGTCCGCTCCTACCTGTGGTGATGTGCGCCCTGGAAGGTCCGGTCCTCCTCTGGGCCGTCTGGACACCGGACACCGGACACCGTCGTCACCCGCTGGAGGGGTGTGCAGAGTACTGGGCGGTGGGAGGCTCAGGAATGCAGTAGGAGTGGGGGCCTGGAGGCGCCCGCAGGTTTCAGGCGGATCCTAGTCCACCGGCTCCAAGAATTTCTGAGCGCTTCCGAGTTGACAGGTGTGGGGTGTGGGCAGGCGCTGAGTGAGGTGGAGAGCCGAGTATTAGGAAAAGTCCCCTTTATAGGGAAGGCAAGAGAGGGGCGATCGTCAGAGCTGGAGCGGTGGACGTCAGAGGAGAGTGGTGCCGGAGCGTGTGATGGGGCCGGTGCCCTCTGCGAGCAGGGTGTGGTGTGTGTATATGTGAGTGTGTGAGTGTGCGCGCGCGCGCCTAAGAGACAGCTCGCCAAGGGGAACACAGAGCCTAAGGCATGAGGCCCTGGAGCTGCCCGGGCTGAAAGGAGGCTGGTAGAGGCAGGGAGGGGGCTGGAGATGAACCATCAGGCACCTGGGTTCCGGTCCCTTAAAGTCTTGAAATCCCTGAGGGATGCGGACCATGTCCCTTCACTTTCACCTGTCCTCAGAAAAAGGAGGGCGAGTCCTAAGACCTTTTGTACTTCCAACTTCCCACGACTCTGACTGTAAGGAAGAAATGGGGTGACTCTGGGGGTCTCAAAGAAATTCTATTTTCAGATATAACAGCTAAAAGTCAGGTACAAAGGTGGAGTCTCAAGATGTCGCTTCCCACTTTATAGTCCACAATTGTTTTTTTTTTTGCTTTAAAACAACAACAAAAAGCCCCACGTTTGTGTGTGTGTGTGAATTGGGTGAAGCAGATGATGGGTTTTGCATTGAACAAATCATCTCCTTCATTGCATTCCATCCTTCCATGTACCATCTGTTATCTAGCTTCCTTCCTATGATTCTCCATCCTCTGCCACCTTCGTTTCCAACACTTTGGAATTGTATCCTTAGGTCAGTGCTGCCCTTTGGATCCTGAATGGTTGACCACTCCATGGTGTATGTATCTGACTAGTGCTGTGGTCCCCCTGTAAACCTATCACTGTTTAAGCTGCAAACTTAAGAGAGGATTCCAGACCTGAAGGCTAACCAAGTGCCAGAGGCTCAGGTTCCTGCAGTCTTTCTAGAACTGTCTCTTCAAGTGTCTCACTCAAAGTAGAGAGAGTGTTGCCCACTGCCTGCACTTGGCCTGAGTGAAGGACACAATTCAGGAAGTTTTTGAAAGTAATTTTAAAATTCACACTCCGCTATTTAAAAATGTTGTTGTTGTTGTTGTTATGTGCCGTCGAGTCAGTTCCGACCCATAGCGACCCTGTACAGGGTTTCCGAGGGTGTAAATCTTTACGGGAGTAGAAAGCCTCATTTTTCTTCCGCGGAGCAGCTGGTAGTTTCGAACCGCTGAGCTTAAAGTTCGCAGCCCGATTCGTATATAGAGTTCAAATAATAGTTTTTAACAGTTGTACAAAAATGCAAAGAGGTAATAATATAATATAACTGCCTTTGCAAAGCCAAATACATTGCTTGTCTACCAAAATATCCTATTCTAAATGGGGGATATGAAAGAAGGTGCTCTATGTGTTTAAAATGTGTCTTTATCTCTATCAATGTTGATTATCTATACTTAGCTATCTATGTAGATAGATGGACACCTGGTGTGGTATTATAGGATCAGCACTGGACTGTGAACCACAAGGTCAGCAGTTCAAACCCACCAGCTGCTCCATGACAGGGTTGCTATGGGTTGGAGACGACTCGATGATAGTTTACAACAGCAACAACAGTATAGACAGATAAGCACCAATTTCCCCTCAAAGCAGATTCCAATTCAAGGTGATCACCAGTGTGCCACCAAAGAACTGTGCTCCATAGCATTCCAAAGGCTGATTTTAGGGAAAGTGGGTCACTAAGCCTTTTTACAAGATGTCTCTTGTAGACTGAAACCTTCAGTCTTTCAGTTATTAATGGAATGCATTGACTGTTTTTACCACCATACCTGTTTAATATCTAGATAAGCTCAATAAACAGACATAAATCAATATGTTGTTGTTGTTAAGTTCCTTTAATTGGTTCTGACCCATAGTGACCCTGTATAGGGTTTCTGAGGAGTGGCTGGTGAGCTTGAACTGCCAACCTTGTGGTTCAAACCAGCTTTGCAGCCCAGTGCATTAACCCATAGCACCACACCAGGACGTATAAATCAATATTTTGTGGTTGTTAAGTGTCGTTGACTCAGCTCTGACCCATAGCGACCCTGTATAGAGTTTCCAAGGAGCAGCTGGTGAGCTTTAACCACTGACCTTGCGGTTCAATATACATAGTTTTACATGTGTGTGTATTTGTTAAAAAAGCAAAGATGTCACTTTTAGGACTAAGGTGTGCTATGGTATCTTCCATTGTTTCATATGCATGTGAAAGTGAAACGATGAATAAAGAAGATTGGAGAAAAATTGATGCATTTGGATTATGGTGCTAATGAAGTATATTAAATATACCACAGGCTGCCAGAAGGGCAAATGAGTCTGTTTTGAATGAGGTACAGCTAGCAAGAATGATGAGACTTTGCCTCATATACTTTGGGCGTATTAGCAGAAGGGACCCGTCTCCGAGAAGGATCTCACACTTGGTTGAGAGTCAGCAGAAAAGCGGAAGGTTCCGGATGAGATGTCGGCAATGGTGGGCTCAGTCGTGCACTGTGAGGATAGAGCAGGACCAGACAATATTTCATTTTGTTGGGATAGGACCGCTCTGAGTTGGAACTGACTTGTTGGCACCTAAACACCTACACACATCCACACACTCTCACACACACAATGTATAGCAAAGAGAGAGAGATAATATAGTCAGAGACCCTCTGGACACTTTCTCCCTTCTTCCATTTTCTTCCTGTTCCAGTAACTAGCACAGTAGACATTACTCTGCTTACTAATAGAGTCAGTAAGATTGCTTTTCAACTACCGTCTTCCTCTCTCGAGATCGTTTCAGAACACGTCCTTTTTCTTACACTGTACCTGGAACTGGACTCTAAAGTGCATCTCACACTTCCCTTCTTTGTATAAGCAATGGAAGCACTCATTGTAGAAAATCACATTGTTTGCAGTGTGAACACCTGCAGAATGCCAACAGAAATCAAGGCACTGACTAAGGACCTGCATATCTTGTGTGGTTCATTTTTCTGGAAAACTCTTAGATAACCTTCAATACAACCCTGTTTTAAAGTGAAAGAATTATGACTTTAAGGTATTCTAAACATCTGACTGAGGAGAAGTCAAAATGAAATCTCAAATAATCTCTCAAATGTTAAGAGATTGATTGATTGAGTCATATATTCATTTATTCGTTGTTTTTGTTTTTTACAGTTATAACAAAATGTCTGATTCTGCACTTCAACCACAGGTTAATTTACCAGAATATATTTAAGACAATTATATCTAAAAGCTCAAGACAATGAATTGTCAGACGAGCATGCGCAATGTCAAGGTACGAAGTGGTGTGTGGGGCTAAGTTCAGGAAATTTGTCTGGGATCCAGAGAGGGATAAATCAGGTGGATGTGCTCACAGAAGGCTTGCCAGACCTTTAAATCGGAGAATTGGGAGTTCAGCCACACTGCTCTGTGGGTCCACTTAA